GGAGGTTGAAGATTTGGCACAGGCCCAGCGACATGATCCAGAATTGGCGCTCTTAATCCATCTCAAGCAGGTCTCGGATGATAATGGTGCTGAAATACAGCAGAATGCTTCTCTGAAGATGTATAGTTCTGTATGGGGCCAATTGCAGCTGCAAGATCAGCGGTTGGTACGGGTGCCCCCACCTAACTCAGATGCAGCTTCAAAGGTACAGGTGGTGCTCCCTAAGGTGCTGGTAGCATCTGTGTTAAATCAGCTTCACAGCTCATTAACGGGAGACCACCTGGGTATTCAAAAATTGCAAGAGAATGTAAGAGATCGTTTTTATTGGCCAGGGTGGTTTTCAGATGTAAGACAGTGGTGTAGGCAATGTGTAGACTGTGCTTCTCGAAAGATGCATGGAAAGCCCCCTTGTGCTCCAATGAATCCTTCAGTGACCTCTCGTCCTCACGAACGTATTGCTTTGGATATTTTGGGGCCTCTACCTGAGACGTCTAAAAAACATAGGTACATCCTTGTTGTGAGTGATTACTTTTCTAAATGGACTGAGGCATTTCCCCTTCCCAACCAGGAGGCACAGACAGTTGCTTGTGTCCTGGTTGAGGAGTGGATATGTCGTTTTGGCACTCCCCGTAGTATTCATTCTAATCAGGGGCGCAATTTTGAGTCTACCCTGTTTAAAGAATTGTGCCGATTGTTGGATATGATACTTTACTGTCGATGTTGAGTCTGTTTGTTAATGAGAATCAAACTAACTAGGACCGTCTATTGCCATATGTTATGATGGCGTATCGAAGTAGTGTCCATGCCAGTACAGGGTTTACACCTTACAAAATCTTGTTTGGACAGGAAATTGTTCTTCCTTTAGACATGATGCTGAATGTAGGTCATCAGGAGCAGTTTCTGTCAGCCAGTGAGTATGTGGCTTGGCAGACACATTATCCACAGTGGTAGAGGCAGTAAAGAGACATCAGGCTAAAGCCTCTGGGCAGCAGAAGGAGACCTTTGATCTTCGGGCTAATTTGCAGTTCTATTCTGTGGGGGAAATGGTATGGGTACAGAATAAGGTCAAGAAAAAAGGTATTTATCCAAAGTTACAAAGGCGTTACAGGGGCCCTTATAAAATTTTCGAACGCATATCTGTATATATCATATCTTGTATTGTGTGGTGTTAGCAGAGGGGGGTCCTGAGGTAGTGGTACATTATAACATACTCAAACCATATGTACTTTCTTCTCTCTCAGAAACATCAGGACCCTTGGTCCTACCACAGGAGGGAGCTGAATCCTTGTGTACAAGTCAGAGGCTGGCTGACCAGTTAGAGCATCAGTCAGCGGTCCCTCTGGGGGCCAGTTGGGTTCATCAAAGGGCACCAGTGCTCCCTCTTAATTTGGAAGGACCAAGGAAAGGATCAGCATTAGTGTCTGCTGGCCCTAGACAACGGCCTGTCCCAGAGCCTGCTATACAAGAGAAGGATCAGGATGGACTACAGAATGGCTCTACAGTGTTGCAGCGCCCAGTACGAGAGCGACGTCCTCCTGGGTGGACACACCAGTCACTCTGCTCTTTAAAAATTGGTATCAGGCACTGAAAAACCATATCTAAAATGTGCACTTTGTGTTTGGATGAAAATGATCTGCAGTGTGAAAAAGTCAATTTCATTGTCCAATTTAGTTTATTCCGTTTATTCACATCGCGGATGTTGTTTTAAAAAAAAAAAAAAATTTACCTTTTTGATGAAAGTACACCGTGATATATATAAAATATATAGTGATAGGTAGTTTGCCTTAGTTGTGGGGCATGTTTATGCCATTATAAAAACATGGATTTAGGCACCAAGGGAATGGCTAGTGTTAGGGATGACTAGCCAGAACGTCATACAGATTTGTAATGGCATGAGAGTGAGTAAATGATAGAATTTTAATTTGAGTGAACTATCCCTTTAAATTATAACCTGGATTGAAACACTGTCAGAATCCACATGCTTTTCTGGGATTTCCAATATGACTAAACCTAATAAGAACAACACTGCTGTTTTCTTCAAGATTCACATATTTAATAACTATTGCCTTTATAGAAAGTTTAGTGGCTCATAGATGATTATCATTACCATTATCTATATATCTATATAATTACCATTATTGTCTCGGGCTACTTCTTTTGTGTGACTTTTTTTTTTTTATCAGCAAAAAACACCAACAGTAAAAATCCCCAGTGAACATGAGTAAACCTTTCAAAGCAGCCCATAAACCATATCTTTGCAAAAAAAAAAAGTATGTAATTCACAATGAGTATTTAATTACACCTTTAATAAGATTTATTATTCATTAGTGAAACCATACAATTATTGGTGATTCATTCAAAATTGACAATGATTAACACAATGTGGTTTTATTGTATATGTAATTATTTTCTAAATATCTTCTAATTTCTTGGGCCATTATGAAAGGTGTTGCCCTAAATATATAATGAGAAAAATATAATGAGATGATAAAAGCATATTTAAAATCCCATTACATCAATTATGTTTGTTAAAAGATCACACCTTCAGTATTTCTATTTATAGTTCTTACAAACAATTTGTTGTAAGATAGCAAAATCTGACCTGTTATGTTATGCTAATGCTGTCGTGTATGTTCCGGTTGAGTTCCTGTTTTCCTTATTTGGTCCTTCCTGTTCCTGTCCCAATGTAGTTTGATTTGTTCCAGGTGTATCTCATTATTAGTTATCCTCCTCACCTGTCTGCCCCTCGTTATCTGCCCTATTTAGTTCTAGCCTGTTCTGAATTTCTTTGTTTGGAATTGTTTGTCAACGTCTTGTACTACGTGTGATTCCCTGAAACTTCTCTTGTTGCTGCATTTTGCTGGTATTGGAGATCTGAAACCAAATGTTGATCTGAGGGTTTGAGTATTAAAGACAAAAAGCATAACAGCTGGAACGACTGAGGAAGTTTTTGCTATTTTAATAATACAAGATGAAAGGTTTATTTTTGAAGTGAATAGTTTTGTTTACTCTGTAAACCAATTCTAGTAAGATTTTTTTTTAAATTGTTATTTAATGTTTTCTGAAGACTTTTGATGTCCTTAATTTACCTCAAACCTGCGTTGTTTGTTTGTTTGTTTTGGTTGAAAAGGCTATAATCTCCTAAGTAAACACCCACGATGTAGGCTATAATTTAGCGATTATTTAACGTTAGCTGTTGTTCTTGGCGCGCTTATCAGGTGTTTTTGACCAGTTACCTCAGTCTCTTTTCACGGTTAGCTTTATTAAATATCACAACATAATCGCCAAAATACTTGTTAAACAGATTTTTTTTGAAGAGTGGTGACGCTGCTTTCCTAATGAAAGTGGATTGTTTAAAAAGGCTACAGTCGGCTTAGTCTTCTTTTTTTATATATATATATATAACGTTACAATGAAAGTGGATGGGGACTGACTCTGTCGCCCTCTAAACGGCAAAAAATAAATAAAAAAAAATCGCTTTAAGCCAAGGTGTTTTTCGTAATCCTTTGTTTAGTGTACATATTACAAGATTGTTTTTAAGGTGTCACCACAGGCTAAATTTCAGATACATGTATTCATAATTGTTTATATCGCTTCTCAATTGTAGTAAAGTTAAACATAGGTTACACTATGTAATGGCGCTTTTCTACTGTATGGTACAGTGTTGTGCCGAATTCTGCACCCCTGCCAGATTATGCACCCCCTCGTTGAAGTCGCTACCTGATTGCCTAATCCCAACCCCACCCCTAACCCTAAACCCTCCCCCACACCTAACCCTAAAGCCTCCCCCACACCTAACCTTAAACCTACCAATACTAGGGGGTGCATAATCTGGCAGGGTGCAAATTTCGGCACTACACTGGAAGGTGGGATTGGACCAACAGGCTAAACCCTGAGAAGAATTATCTAATGGCACTTTTCCACTACATGGTACGGCTCGGTACGGTTCACTTTTGGGGGGTTTTCCACTTTTTTTAGTACCATCTCGGTTGGGGTTCCAGGCGAACCGTACCGTTACCAAAACGTGACGTGTAACCTCTGCTGATCACGGATTGGCCGGAGAGAATCGTCACTGAACTTGCGACACAGACACAAACAGACCCGCTAGATTTAAATCCGCACAGCCAGCGAAGGATCGAACGCAACTGTTTGGAACGAGCTTTAACAACCAAACAGTTTTGTTGTCTGTTGCGAAAGAACAGACGTTCCTCTCGTTGATAGCAGAGGAGCGGATCCAGCGAGAGCTTGATGGGGCGATGCGGAATGAAATTTTTTTTTAGGAGTCGTGGTATTAGAGGCGGCACATCTATAAAGACATGTGAATAATCCCGCCGACTCTAAAGCAGTACTGAACTGCAGTGGAAACGCAAACCATGCCGAGCCGAGCCGAACCGTGCCGTGCTGTACTGAGCCGTACCGAGCCGAGTCGTACCACGCAGTGGAAAAGCATCATAAAAGGGAGTACTACATAGGGAAGGTTTTGTGTTGTGGTCTCCGCATAAGGGGAGAACTACCAAGTGCAGAAACAAGTGGCAGATCGACTGTCTGTCTAGGGGAAACACTGAATCCTATTTTTTTTTTTAGGAGTCGTGGTATTAGAGGCGGCACATCTATAAAGACATGTGAGTAATCCCGCCGACTCTAAAGCAGTACTGAACTGCAGTGGAAACGCAAACCGTGCCGAGCCGAGTCGTAAAAGCGCCATTAGTGATCCAGGAAATGTCTGTCGTGCATTCGTGTACTTTTTCCCTGTACCAAACAAATGATAAGAGTAACCGAAAATGGGGTCGAACTTGAACACCACCTGTCTTGAGACCGCATTAAACCTTGTACAGCATCTTACAGCGAGCATAAACACATGCTGGCATGTCTGGAACAGACAATAAACGCTATTATTAGTGGGTTTGTGGTGCGTGGTAATGCAGAAGTTGGTGCTGGACAGCATACAGTGCATTCATTAATAACAGGGGCTGCATAAATTACAGTACAGCAAGAGTGGCAAGCTTATTTTATGTCCTCTCTTACAGAAACATGAGCTCTCAGGTGAGACAGAACTTCGAGGAGGCCTGCGAAGCGGCCGTCAACCGTCAGATCAACATGGAGCTGTATGCATCCTACGTCTACCTTTCCATGGTGAGAGTCCAAGGCCATTACAGCGTACTAGTTCCATCCCATTCCCATTTAGAGTAAAATGGAGGGTTCTAGGTGAAGGGAAGGGGCATTGAGTTCAGTATATGAATCAACTCTGAAAGTTTAGTTAATGATCCATTTTGTTCACTGTCTCTCTTGTGACCTTTTATTTTATTTCTTTCTCTCATGCAGTCATACTACTTTGACCGAGATGATCAGGCCCTGCACAACTTTGCAAAGTTTTTCCACCATCAGTCCCACGAAGAGCGCGAACACGCTGAGAAACTGATGAAGTTTCAGAACCAGAGGGGAGGGAGGATCTTTCTGCAAGACGTGAAGGTACATCTATAATGTGTGTTCACGTGATAGCGTTACAGTTTGGCTGGGCAAGGCAAGGACGCAGAGATAGAAAGGACAAAGTTGAGGTGGTGCTCTTATCTTTTACTGACACTGACGATAAACTTCAACTGACAGTCAGCGTGTTTAAGCGCTTCTTTGTCAAATGCTTGAAAATGTAATTTTATTTCTGTGACTCAAAGTTGAATTTTCAGCATGATTACTCCAGTCTTCAGTGTCACATGATCCTTCAGAAATCATTCTGATTTGCTGCTCAATAAACATTTCCTATTAATTTTGAAGACTGTGCTAAATTTAAGGATTCTTTGCTGGATAAGAAGCTCAAAAGTGCAGCATTTATTTGAAATGTATATATTTTTTTAAACCATAAAAGTCTTTACTTTCACTTTACATTAATTGAATGCATCCTTGCTGAATAAAAGTATTACTGACCCCAAATGTCTGAATGGCAGTGTAGGTTGACAAGAAATAAACCAAAATCATACTGATAGCTATAATACTATATTCCTTAAAACAGTGTTTACTACCTTGTTCTGGTGCGGATGCATGTGTTTTCTACTTGGTATCATAATATTGAACTGTGACTCAAAGTGTTTCAAACTTTAGCATCAGGTCTTTTTTTTTTTTTTTCATGCCAAATGCAGTTATTAAGGTTTTATATTTAATGGTGATTCTAGTTGTTGTCCGCATAAAAACTTAACTTAAATGTGACCAAAGTTGTCTCAGTCTTAGGTTAGCTATATATAATGAGAAATCTTGCACTGAAGCCAAGGAAAGTAGACACCCATCTGATGAAATTGTATTTTTAACCCAGTTATATTACATTACAGCAAAAATGTATCATCAGCCTGTTGATGAGGCATGTTGTAGGCAAGTGTCTTGCTGTAACAACCAGTGGTAAAAGGGTTACTATTTCAGCCAGATCAGGTGTCTAGTATCTTTAATCAAATCAAAACTACAAAAGGGGAAATACAAGGAGGAAATAAAAACAGCCCACTTCTCTTTTAAGAAGCAGGTGTTATATAACCTATATTTACACTTCCTCTTCTATTAACAGTCATTTATATGAAAGACGAGAATAATGTATGATCCTACAGGTGCATCTCAATCAATTAGAATGTCGTGGAAAAGTTCATTTATTTACAAAACAGTATATCAGTAGGGAAGTATTATGTATTAAATATTTATATTGTGAAAATACACAACACATTTATAGCATGTAGAAACATGTTTGTGCAGACCAAAACCGACAAATTTGCCAGTTTGATCCACACAGCTGTGAGAATAACCACAAACACAGATGCAGCAAACATCTACTGTAGCTCGTGTGGAAAAAATGTCATTTTAATATGTCAGTTCATTGTGTACTTACATTGTTAATCTGATTAACTGTAAACCATTGTTTCCATAGACCTAATTGTAAACTTGAACTGGTCAGTGTTTATTCATCCAGAAGCTCATCATATGTTGAATCACATAGTGACTAAGAAGTCTGGGAATATGAAGTGCAAGACTAAACATGACTGAATAATGCCTATATAATCTTTTTAGATTGTCAACAAACCAGATATGAGGAAGCTAGTGTTAATATGTGGTGAAACAGGAAAGACTTTAATCCAAGACACATGTAGTGTGTCTTTGTGCTTGTCAAGATGAACATAGTTCTGTCATATAAACCTGAACATCTGGTATGACGAAAAAACTGCATGTCATCATGAGCACTGCTTTGTTGCACTATATAATATATATAAAATATTATATATGTATGTGTGTGTGTGTGTGTGTGTGTGTGTGTGTATTTAATCTCATTCTTACAGGATTTTTAGGCTATAGCAGCAGACAGATTAGGTAGATTAAACTAATAAACTATAAAGTATTGAGTCCTAAAATGGGATTTATCAATTTCATAAATACACAACCATTCATTTTTATTTAGCAAATGTGGCTACAACCCGCAGTAATTACTGAATGGCAAGTGCCTAATTAGATTCAGGTGCGCTATAGGTGCGTGCGTGTGTGTGTGTGTGTGTATAAGGAACGTTTCCTGCGTTGTTGGGGAGCGTGTTGACTGCTGGCTGTTGCTGCAAACTTGGACGCTGTCTTTTTTATCTTTCCCAGCGTTATGGATCTTTGAGCCAAACCCTACAGGCAGGGGCGCATTAGTGTACGGGTTTCAAGGGGCTGAAGCCCTGGGGCCCACTGGCTGCAGGGAAATTATATTTTTTGAAAAATTATTTATATGGGAGTTTGCAGCAGTGACAACAGTGTTCTGTAAACAAACTCACACACTCATTTTCAGCGACGCCCTGGTTGTAGTAGCCTATGTAGTGAATGGCTCAGTTTAGGTTCCCCCCACACAGTTTGTATAGTTGGTATGTCCCACGTGTTCCATCGCTATACTGTAAGCGGAATGTTCAATCAGGGTGCGAACTACGGGGGAGCTAGGGGGAGCTCGGCTCCCCTTAATAAGACATGGGCTCCCCTGAAAACGTGATTTGTGAAATTTTGGGGGGTCTCAAAAAATATTGACAATGTGTTATTTTGACGTGCAATTTCAGTTTTGTGTAATGTGATCATCGTGGATGTGTAAAATTGCAAAAATATAATTCATTTATATATGACGGTGATTTAAACCTAATTCACTTCAATAAAGATAACTATACATGCTATTCTTGTCATGAGCATCAAGGTGTGGGGGCGCTGCGGTGCAAATTCCACTCATGTTTAGTACATGTTAACTCAAAGATTCGTAGAAAAAATTTAAAATCTGGACTCTGGTCGATTCTGTGTTAAGGTAAGGCATGTTATTCGCAATTATGTGTTGTGTCTGGGTTGTTATAGGTCTGCGTGACTCTCGATGTCTTAGGTTTAATTGAACGGAGGAAATATGGGAATCTTCTGTAGCCTTACGACGAGAAACTTTAACCGTTGTTCATGTGAACTCAAAGACAGCCTGATGCTTTGTTTATTCTATTTGTGGGTGGCTGTTTGTTGTTTCACCTATCAATTCGTGTCGATAAAGTATAATAGGGTAAATCCTGTATAGTGATTTATCCTATATAGTGCTTGCATAAAGCAAGTAGTACATACATTTGTAGCTGTTATGTATGCTGTGTGAAAGGAACTGAACCGGTGTTCTGTCGATTTGTGCTACCCTGTCAGATTTTGCTACCTCCCATTAAAACAGTGGGTAGTGCAATTCGACAACGAAAAATGCTACCTGTAAAATTATGGGGTATTAACGTCTACACCTACCCCAACCCTAAACCTACCCTTACAGTAATGCAAATACAGTAATTATGTGTTATATTCGCGGTTGTGGCTAGAAGAGATACAGCTACAGGAAACCAACAATAAATAATTTCTACCTATTAGATTGTGTTTTATTAAAGTCTACACCTACCCCAACCCCAAACCTACCCTTACAGTTATGCAGATACATTAAATATTGTTGTTCAGCATGAGAAAAAGGAATGCTGTAATGCTGTAGCCCAGGTGCCTTTGGTTATCTTTAAGGCGCCCCTGCCTACAGGGCAAGCGTTGGCTGATCACTGCATTGTGCATCTGGGTATGTTATCACAGAGAAACAATTATTTAAGTTGGGGTGAGCTGTTGGCTGTATGCGCTTTGTTGTTTATTTATGCATTCCGGGCTGTGCTTATCAACTGTAGTTTGATGTTGGAAGGGCTGATTTGCTAACAATCAGGTATGTAAACTATTGATCTAACGTGTGAATATTCATAAAAGACCTGCTGTTTATGTCGTGTTCCCTTCTGTTTTAGCAGAAGAGGCACTGCTCGTAATATGTCTGTGTGATCGCGGATAGCTGATCTGACCTGGCTTCCCCTTCCTTTCCTTTTTTTCCTTTTTGTTTGTTTTCTTTTTGTGTGTTTTGAGCCCTTCTTTTGTGTTGCGCATTGCCGCGACGTTCTGTCTTGTCTCATCGGTTGTGCTCGTCAGACAAGGCCGTATCAAGTGAACTGGACATCGGAGGATCGTGAGATCCGTGTATTAATCCGTGTGGCCGTTCGGTCACCCCGCACCATTTCAACTGGAGGATTGTGTGTGTTACAGGCTCTGTGCAGAAGGCCGTGTCAGCAGATTAGAAAGTTACTGTAAAAACAGGAAAAATTGAGGAGACAGGAGCAAACTTGTCTGTGTCGCACATAATCCCCAGCAATTGTTTATTCAATGTCTTTTTTCACATTGCAATTCAATAAAGCTTTATCAATAAAGTATAGTTTTTTTCATTAATGCACAAATGCACATTTCACCTTTACATTTTAACTTTTTTCCCACAAAAAAAACATACATTTGAGCTTTTCACTTTGCTCCTTTAAATCTACTCAGACAAGTCAAAAGGTATCTTATGAGTATAAAATCATCACACATGACTGAACATGTAAGGCCTAAGAACCTGAGAAATATATGTAAACCATACATATTTAACATTCTAGTTACTGATCATATAATCAGATCTGACATCATGTTACGTTAACATTAATTTTTCCTTCTGTATTGGCAGGAAATAGAATTGCATTATATTAGTTTGCACTGGAATGTCTGTTTGAAACATTGTCTGGAGAAGTGCATTGATATTTATGCCACACATGAACTCTAATTAACCAAACACAACTATAATATGAATAATAAAAAAATGAACATCCTAACCTGGTAACTGGAGCCTGTATGAATCAAATGAATCACTGGCATCCACCTCAAGTTTGAAGGGTCTTGAAAAGCCAGGGGCAGAGAGGACTGGGGCACTACACAGGAGATCTTTGGCAGCACTGAAGGCGTTATTGCATTCATGACTCCAAGTGAAAGCTTTGGACGTGCTCAACAAATCTGTCAGGGGGGACTCAACAGAGGAGAAATTTTTACAAAATCCATGGTAATACCCAACCATACCAAGAAAACGGCGCAGCTCTCTTTTAGACTTGGGGATGGGGAAATTCACAATTGCCTCAACTTTGGCATCAATAGGATGCACCTGTCCTTGCACAACC